TGCTCTTGGGTCTTCTGCTGCAATTTCCTCATGTCAAATAAAATGTAATCTTCATAATTGCAATAAGAAGAGAGAAGATAATTCTGTGGAGGGAAATTATTCAAGGCAGGAGGACTAAAATTACCAGTCTTAATTGGTTTTCTATTTCTTTTGGGTACACGAGTTGTCGTTTGAGAGCTGAGAGTATATGTTAAGCTCCTTGGGGAACAATAATGTGTTTGGAGAGGGACCAGGGAAAAAACAAGATAAATTATTGCGTTTCAGCTTGAATTGCTATGTAGATTACAGAAAATAAGGATGAATAATAAGGACCATTTGCTTGCTAATGGTCATGAAATTACATTCAGCTGTAACTGTATGTAAAGCTCACTTGGAAGAAGTATGCAGGGATAGTCTTGGATCTAGACACACCATGTAGGTCTGTTGCTTCAAAACGCACAAACTGGAGGTGATTTTTGGTCATCTCTTGCTTAATATGCTTCATTTTCGAAGAAAGTTGAGGTGGAGTCAAAATTTGAGTGCTGTTCCTAGCGCGATCTGTAAATACAGGGTGGTTCTAAGTCACAATTATGGTTACCACGAAGCAAAAGCAGACTGGAATCTAGGGAGGGAGTCAGTGTGGTTAGATGTCACCTGGTGTCCATCAAGGGAATCATGCTTCCACCTGGACATCTCACTGTTCCCGCACTGCCTTCACCATCTTCCCAAGAACACTGTGTTGGGACAGCCTAGGAAACTGTTCATCAGTGGGACTAGGTTAAATCAACATGTTTGCATAAGAATATAGCAAAGTCATGTGTAGGTACTTACTGAACATTCCTTTGCTTATGGAAATTACAATGTATTTGCATAACAGTTGGTGGACTTTTTTTTAAAGAATGAGAGTGTAGATGAAAAATTTGGGTTGCATACTTTTAAAATTAGAAACAGAGTAAAATGTCCTTTTTAATACTTTTTAAATGGTCTTCAAATTCTAAAACTGGAGCTAAATCACCTAAAGTAACCAGTTCATTGGCTTGAGTCCCAGAGAGGCACAGAAGGTACCTCAGTCACTATCAGTTCACTTCAAAATGGAAATTAGGGTCTGGCTGCACCACCTTGATGGGGTCTCATTACCACAAAACAAAGAAGCACATCCATTGCACACAGGTGGCCAAGTACGGAGTTCACGCTGTAGATGTTAATTCCTGGAGCCCCACAGAGTAGCGGTGCAGTAGTACAGAGCAGTAGGATGGCATCCTATCAGAAACTGCCTCTGCCTGGCCGCTTTCTCATCCCCTCTTTGCCTCTGCTTTCCCATCGATAGGACATTAGCTACTGCACGGGCTTGTTACAAGGGTGGACCAAACAAGTTATTCAACAGTTGCTGGCAGACAGCAAATGCCACACAAGTGCTGCTTACCATGCACACAATGACTCGAACCCTGGTAAACACTCCTGCTGTCAGACCTGAACACCTGCACCTGAACACCATCGACCTGTCACATGTGACACTGACAGCTATAATTCAAAGTGATTCCCGAGTATCCTTTTTCAAAATATAATTAGGCTTTAAAAATAAGCATAAAGATTGACAGTTAAAAATATAGATTAAGTAGATTTTAAATTTGGGAAGCATGAGGAAAACAAATTACTGGTTCTACCTATGCAAATACATTAGACCTAATGTCCAGTCGCTGATGTGTTTGGCTACTCTGAGATGGAGGCCTTGGAACTCACTTCCATTTAACCCAAACAAACTGTAGCAATCACAGTGTTGTGTGCTAAATTAGCAGTTTTGGTATTCCTAACCTATTCTGAAATAGTGGATATTTGGCCCAAGTTGAATAATGCTCCTTAAATAAAATAAAATTTATAAGTATTTTAAGATATGGAAATTTCCAAATGATCAGTATTCTAAAAATAAGCAATTATGTATAAACTGTGAAGAAGGCCTCTCCTATAAAAGAAAAATGGTAATTTTATTGGCTCGCTAGTAGTAGTATGACAGGTAATCTTATTAGTTATTTTCCTTATCTGTATATTCTAAATTTTCTGCAAGATATATTTATTATTTAAAAATAAAAATATTCACCAATTCAAGATAGATTTTTTTTTCATCAATCCCTACTTTTCACAATGGATCTATATCTAGTAAGTTGCCAGAAAAATCTACCCCTCCCCGTAAAACATTAAATTACTGAGGGATACTATATGCAAAAAAAAATGCCATCAAATGCAAAGTTGGGATAATTTCATAAGACAGAATATTAAATCTGCAAGAGTTAATTGCAGTGTAGCCACATCCAAACCCTAATGCACTTTAAGACCCCCAAGGTGACTGAACCATGAATATAATTATCACTTTGCTGCAGTTGCCATAACTCTTATCCCCAACTGTGAGGCTGAAATGGAAATTTCTTCTCATTGTGGAGTTGCATCTCTGGAGGCCTCCCTCCTCAGCTCGCTGGAGGTTATGTTCCAGTACATTTGCACATCGTCCCTCTTCATGTCTCTCCTGATCTCCTTTTAGGAGGACACCAATTCCACTGGGCTAGAGCCCATCCTACTGACCTCACTGAACCTTCCTTACCTCTGTGAAGACCCTGTCCCCAAATTCACTCAGCCTGAGGCCCCACGGGTAAGACTTTAACATAAGAATGTTGGAGAGACAGGCCCAGATGGAGTGAGGTTCCCTTCTCTTCAGGATTTTCTGTTTCCATGGAAGGCCTCCTCCCTGTCCTGTCCTACAGTCCCATCTTCTGTCTGTCACCCTACATTTGCTTCTCAGCCCCAAAAGAGTAGGGGCTTAGGTCTACTGGGTGCTGTATCCTTGGCACCTGTAGCAGTACTGGCCAGTAACGGGCACTTATTATGTGAATGAGCAAGTAAATTAATAAATCTCTCCTGTGCAGTGTGACCTTGTCTAATTAATAAGTAAAAGCCTGCACCATGTATTTTAGGATGTATCCTTAGTATCAAGTTTTTCATTTAAAATTTCAATTCTTTCACCAATTATAGAAACCCTATCCAACCTAATTTCATTTTCAAGCCATCAACTAATCTTGCTGTATCATTGTTTTAATCTCTTTTCTTCAAATAAATCATACTTGTTCCCTACAATTAAACCTTCTGGTCAGCCTTTCTCAGCCACACATGATGAGCAGCAGGCAGAGAATCGCCAGTTCTGGCCCCATTTGCTTTTCTTCCAGTGTGATTCCTGAGAGGTATTCTCCTATCCTATCCCCTCAGAAGACTAATAAATCAAATCAGTGTGCTTTTATAGAGGAAGTTTTTTCTGCAGTTAGTGTTTAGTGGGAAAAAAATAAAACATTAAAAAAAAAAACCTCAAAGCTCTATAGCAATTAGAAGGCTTTGGAGAAATGTTGTCCGTGTTCAGTGACAATGAGGACATATTTCAGTTGCAGAGAACAAGCCACAGCCACTTATAAAGGGCAGATTGAGAAGGCAGTTGAGCTTTCAGAAATACCAATTTTTTTTAATGGAAAGTATGTTATGGAGTGCACACCATGGTACATTCAGCTATTGTATGCCTGGGACACTGTTCTCCTTCCCAAAGGGCATGCAGTCCTTCAGCCACATGGCTGCAGAAGAGGACCCCACCCTTGGCCACACCCCACAGGCCCACAGTGTGGAAGGTGGAGTAGAAGGATAAGCAGGTGCAAAGCATGAAAAACAGCAGCAACAATAAACTGTGTGAGGGGGCATCACAGGGGCGTGGCTTCGAAAAAATACATTGTTTTTGGAAAAACTCAAAGTAGCACAAAGAATACTTATCAAAATTTCATATACACGTTTTAAGTGTTGATTTTTATATTTCTATTTTTATTATTTTATCCAGTATCCAAGAGTTTTAACCAATACACTTCATGTACCAAAATAGTTATATCATTATATATAGAGTTATATCTCTGGGTTACTATCAGTAACCCTGAAACTTAGAATAACAGAATCTCACTTTTAAAAAAGACTTGAAGCTGGGCATGGGTATGCATGCCTGAATCCCAGTACACTAGGAGATCATAAAGTCCAGCGCAGCCCAGGCAACTTAGTGACTTAGAGAGACCCTGCCTCAAAATATAAAACAAGAGGTAGGGGAGGCAGGGGGAGAGGGAGAAGGAGAAGAAGCCAGGGAGGCATGGAGGGACTTGAGAGATTTTCTACTGCAACTCCTACATTTTCCAGATAAGCAGCCTAGAAGGTAAAGAAAACTGCAAGGTACTTTATAAATAACAGCTGTAGAAATTATTTTGCATTACAATCTTCAAGCTAGCAGTCCTCAAACAACATCACATCATCTCTACTTCCAACACAAATTTAGAAATAGTGGCTAGAATCATATGCCCATTTGTTCCAGAAATGTTAGCAGTTAGTTAATCCTTACCAGAGTTTGGATTAAATTCATCAACCAGAGCATGGGTTGCTATTTTAGGAGGTGATGTTTTTGTGGCTGTAGTCCAATCCTGGGCATCCTTGTCATCGTGTGACAGATGAGATTCAGCAGGTTTGCTTGAGTCTCCCAGTTTGTGACACAGCATTTGGTTTCTGGTCCTCTCTGTTGCAATAGGGGAAAATATTAAAATATGTTGCCACAATTTTCAATTGTCTTTTAATACAATATGGAGAGGGAACTGGGGGCAAGGCCAAGTGGCAGAACACTTACCTAACACCTACCAGGTGCTGCTCAGGCCTGGCACCCGAAAGAGAGAGAAAGAGAGAGAGAGAGAGAGAGAGAGAGAGAGAGAGAGAGAGAGAGAGAGAGGAACATTTAAGAAAGTGTTGTGTTCCTAGGTAATCACAAGTCAAAGGAGGGGCAGTGAGAGTGGTCCACATAGCCAAGTCCCAAACCCAGGAAAAAGTCCACCTGTTCTTTATTGTCACCATGTGCTGCAATCCTCCTGCCTCTACACTGGGACATCACAGCTCCTACCGCTGACTCTGCTGTCCTTTGAGTTAATGCCCAGATTTAGCACTGATTCAGACCTGCGCATGCCAAAAAAACTGAGTGTACCTCTCTCTTGTGCTCTGCCCCCAAATTCCAGTAAAGACCTCTGCAGTCCTCTTACCTCAGAAGTGTGATTCTCTTCATACTGTCTTGTTCTTCTGCTTCATTCTCTTTTTTCCCCCATTACAATCATCCTAGTTCTCACCTACCTTAAATTCTGAATATTTTGATTCTTTATTTATATATATTCAAATCATAACCTTGTACTTGTCATTTTTATGTCACTTACATGGCAGTAAATTTCATTTCATTGTTCTTTTGCTTCTCCCAAAGGGGGGAAAAAAAGTATTTAAGGGGGAAAAACCAACTAGAGATTGTCATTGACCACACCATTTCTGACAGAGCAAAGTAGTTAGTTACCCTTTGATGTGGATGCGTTCATTTCTCCTGCTTGAGTGGAGCAGAGGTGTGATTTGGTAACTTTCTTTCTTGTCCTTCTTAATTTACTGATCCTGCTGACTTCAACCTCACTACCTCCATCTTTTGTTGTGTCCTGTAAAAATAAGCGAGCAAAAATCCAAATAGCATTCCATGCAAACAATTAGGAGGTAAAAAACATGACATTGGATAGCTAGATTTTCAAATGAGTATAGGAGACTTTTTATAAGGAGATAAATTTCCTCACCACTTCATCCGTTTGAATATCACAGGCTGGATTTTTCTGACATAGAAAATGTCATTAAGCAAATAAGACCCTGTCTTACTACTCAGCATTTCTCTATTTTTCACTTTGAATTTTTTATATTATTTGTTCCTAAATAATCTCGTTAAACCCATCTCACCTGAAAAGCTTATTATGTATTTTAGGATCTCTAATCTTTGCAACCAAAAGTATCAGCAACCAAAGAATTGTATTCTTTTCTCTCTTTTCACTCATTCTCCCTCATACTTCTTGCATAGACATTTACTTTGATTCAAAAAAGTACTTTCATTCCCAAAGTGTTATTTTGTGATTGGTTTTAAATGGGTAAAACAAATATTATACCCAAACTAATTTATAACTTGGGAAATTTTAAAGAAATACATTTAAAGCAAAACATTCTAACTTTAGCCATCTCCTTAAGGTCACTGACAGATATTCCAGCAGGAAACCAGGCTGTGGGGTGGAACTCGAAGGGGTAGCCTGGATGTCTCCTGGCCATGGAAGAATCACCTGTAGTCCTGTACACAAGAAAACTGTCACTAGGAAAAATTGTTTTTAAGTCAACACTGTGTTTTTAAAGCTTTTTGCATTCCTCTCATTGTTCCTTGAGGGGAGGGGATAGTGCCAGGGTCGGGGTCACAAACTATATTCTAAATTATCTGAGCTATTGTCTTTTCCAAGAGCAGCTTCTGAGCAATTCCTTGTCTGGGGGCAGGCTACACACATATGCCCAGGCTGGTGACCAGGGAAGAGCTGTACCATTTTTCCATAAAATCAATTCAGCTTTCGAAAACTAAAAGAGAAAAAAAAAAAGGATTTTCATGTTTCTCTGCTTGTGTGTAATTGTGACACATTGTTCTTCTCATTCCTATATTAACATGGATATGTTTCATGGAACAAGGCCTGCTTTGTAATTTGGACCTTCACTTATTACGTGATTGTGGCCTCATTTACTCCAGATAATCTTACATTTGGATTTTATGGTGCTTACTATGTGATAGAGTAATACATTTTCCCCTATAGCTTTAGGATTATATTCAAATATTTGCATAAATTTCCCCAGCACATTTTTAATAGAATTTGACAGCAATATAAAGTCTTATTGTACATATTCCCATTTCTAAAACTGTATTGCCAGAAATATATATTACACAATTTTATTTTTGTTAAATATTTATATATATATATATATATATATATATATGATCTTTTAAAGAAATCTTGTTTGTAAAATATGTAAGAATCAAAGGAACCAGAGCACACTAACATTTTTAGTAGTTTGGCCTCTTGGGGTTGCCCCCATTTGTAGACTGGAGAACTTAGAAGAGATAAACCTTAAGATCCAGCTTCAAACTCCAGCCATCAAATGAGTAAACAACTGAAGGCTGAGGTGCTGACAAGCCAGCAGGTGCGCTTCCAGACACACACTCCTCCCCT